TGAGCATTAACATTACTGGTAAGTATATTCGTTTTCTCCTGGACACAAGAGCCTACTCTTTGGTCCTAAAAGCCTTCTGAGGTCCCAACTCTTCTTACCATTTCTTAGTTGTTGGAATTGACGGAAAACCTCATAAGCAGATCTTTACTTCACCTCTGCCTTGCATGCAGACTTCCGAGTTGTAGATGGAATTTGGTCCAGGACTTAAGAACAATAAATGACATAGTTGAGCCTCTACATCTTGTGGTTCCTAACCTGTACACTATAATAGACAAGGTGCTAGTCTATAGGCCTTTTATTGTAAGAACTACCTTCCCTCTGTAACTTGATTTGTATCACTATTAGAGCTCTACTTGGAATATTAATGCTTTTCAATTTTTTACTCATGTACTTTTAACTTGTTAGTTAAATTTGTGTCTTCTAGGCTGCAACACTTCCATGATACCTCTTCAAGGATATAAACATGTATGGCTAAGCACATTTGATAACAGTGCATCTAAATTCCAAAATCAATCTCCATAATAGTCTATGTGTTTCCTATTGCCAAAGGGGCCCTTTAGAGTAGTGAGAGAAGATCTTCGCCCTGAAACCCACAGCGTCCCTTTTCAGCAGGAAGTAGCTAAGAGAATACGCCATCCCCTTTTTCTTATGAATCGGGGTGAAGTCTCTCTCAGGGAGGAGAGATAGGGAATGGCAAAGGACACACTGACAAAGGAGATTAATCAGAACTGGCTTTGACAAGCACTGTGGCAATTGGACAATTAAAATGGACTTTCAAGGGGGGAAAAAAAGAAGAACGAACTGGGGAGGAGCGTAGAGAAAATAGTGCAACAATGAATGAATGAAAACCCAAAATCTCTGTAAAATGTTCATTAAAATTAATAAAATTTAATAATTAAAAATAATTTAAAAAATAATAAAGTTCTCAAGGAAAAAAAAAATTCTTGCCTCCAAAGAGCACTCTGGCTCCACCCCCTCCAAGATATGTCTGTTTGTTCTCTTGGCCATCCATGGCATCAATTCTTATTCTGTCATCCTTATTCACTGTCCAGATCTCAAATTCATAGCAAGTGAATGGAAAGACTATGGCTTGAATCTGATGCATCTTAGTTCTCAAATGGACATCATTACTCATCAATAATTTGGAGAGGTCCCTGACTGCAGATTTTCCCAGTGCAATGAGCCTCTTTTCCTGACTGCTGGTGCCAAGGGTGTTAATTGTGGATTCAAGCAAGATGAATTTGTTGACAGTTTCAATCTCTTTTCCATCTATCATGCTGTTGCCTATTGGTCCAGTGGTAAGAACCTTTGTTTTCTTATATGAAAAGGAATAAGTAAGCAGAAACCTGAATTAACTGTAACATTAGGAAGTGCGGCATTTCTAAACCATGGGCACTATAGGAGCACAAAGAAAGCAGAGAAGAATTTAGTTGAGGGACAGAGGACTAAAACAATTATGTGTTCCAATGCTTAAAGAGAGATTCAGATTTTAAAAGGCAAAACTGAAAGAGGGCAAAGAGACAGCTAAGAGTATCACCATACATCCAGAACAGTAACAAATTGTGGCTATTATGGGTATCTATTTGCACTTACTTCATTATTTCCAACCACGTCCAAAAATGCAATAATTCATCTCACAAACACAATGAGCTTCTTCTACATCAAGCACTATTTTAATAGAAAGCAAACAAATGTAACTCATTACTGTCAAGTCAATTTTGACTTATAAGAACAACCCTACAGGACGGAGAAGCACTGTGCCATAGTGTTTCCAAGGCTATAAGCAGAGTACCCCATCTTTCTCCAAAAAAGTGGCTGATGGGCTCATGCTTGTGAACCATCAAACTTATGGTTAGCAGCCAAGCATTTAACCACTGTGCCACTAGAGCTCCTGGCACTATTTTACCAAAATCAAGCCAAATCCACTCCCATCAAGCTGTTTCTGATTCACAGCAACCCTGTGAGACAGAGCAAAACTGCCTCAAAGGGTTTCCGTGGTTGTAAATCTTTACAGAAGTACACTGCCACATCTTTCTCTGATGAACAAAGGCAGATTCTTTTATTTAGCAGGCAAGTGCTTTTAACCACTGTGCCACCAAGGTTCTAGAATGAGAATAGAAATAAAAACAAAAATCCCTGCTCTAATAGAGCTTGCCTAGCTGGTAAAACAGATAACAGCTAAGTAGATAAACAGATAATCTAAAGACAAGAGGCCTCTCTAGTCATCTTTCAAGACTAGAACTAAACTCATCGCAAGCTAACTTCAGCTTTCAGCCACAAGATGGGACTGTGAGGTGAATGATAACTCCAGGGAGGCAGGTGCATATTCCTGAAAGCAATCAACCACACAGATCCAAAGGATAGCAATTCCTTAGGGATGACGCTCAGATGGCAGGCAGAGAAAAGAAAGATGAATTAAACTCAGATGGTCACTACTATCGTCAGTGCTGAATCTCAGAGGCTAAAAATCTTAACAGGAAGAGACAGCCCATCTTTCTCCCAAAGAGCTGCCACTGAAAAATCTAGCCACTGACCTCCCGCTAATGACACAACACGCGATACACTGTACTCCCAGAGCTCTGCAGAAGGATGAATGAAAATAGACCAGGAACACTGCGGATAAAACGCCACAATGTCACCCTTGTGATCAATGTCACCAAGCATAACAGATATGAACTTCTAGATGGAAAACCAATTTGCTCTGTAAACTTCTACCCAAATCACAATTAAAAGTTAATTAAGTAAATAAAATCAAGAGGGGACAGGTGTTATGAGAAGAAGGAAGTGCATGAGGCCAGGTGAGATGGCCACTCAGCATGCTCAGGAACTTCCTCATGTCCATGAGCCCAAAGTGATCTGCACTGAGGCAATAACAGGCAGACCTGACATCCTTTTGTTGTTGTTTTGGGGGGGGGGTGTGTTTAATAATTTTTTTCATTTTTAAATATTTTCTTCGCAGCCCCCCCTGCAATGCACCCTTTCTTCCAGATTATTGTCTAACATATAATGCCTAATCATATATATCTTTTAGACAGTTCTTCCCCTTCTGTTCTAATGCAGTGTTCATTATCAACGGACTGATAGTCATGGGGGTGGGGAGTGGGGAATGGGAAAAGAGTGTCCTGTATTTGAATCTGGCTTTGCCATTTCCAGCTGCAGAGTTTTGAGCAAATCACTTAAGCTCTGAGCACCTTGGTTCCCTCATCTGTGTGCAATGTGAAAAATGTGAAGGCACAAAGTAAATAGTAAATAATAACTGTTCTTATACTCTAGACTTCTGTCCATATGATTCACCTACCTCCTGGCCTGCCATAAGAACAAAAAAAAACACACAAAATGAGCTGTTGCCATGGAGTCAAGGCCTGCTCCTGGTGACCTTAGGTGCACTGGAATAGAACAGTGCTCCAGAGCATTCAGTGCCTGGCTTTCCCCAAGTCCGTCCCCAAGCCTTTTTGCTAAGGTTCAAGGATGGACTTGAACCTCTGCTCTTTCAGTCAGCAGCAAGAATGCTAATTATTCATGCCATGCAGTGACTCCACAAGAACAGAGGCCCCAAACATTCAATCTCTAGAGCCTCCAAGGCGAGGCAGAGTCACCAACGTACCGTACTGCCCTGACTGATGCAACACGTCCACTCAGGTCCTCCCATCTCCTATGAGTTCCTCAAGGAAAGGCTCCTTGCAGGGACCCTAGGGGACTCTGCTATCCCCTCAAGCACATGATTCCAGGTAATCCCTGAACAGAATGCTCACAGTAACTGACTGGACTAAATAGATCCATTAGCTTTCAGCCTCTTATGCTGGAAGTGTATGCTGCCACTAGGAAGCAAAACCAAAAGAACTGTGTTAATCTGCTGACTCAGAACTAAACTGAACCCCAACAGTCACATTTTAAACCTGAGCAGTAAGTTGTCCAATAGTATTTTTCCTTATCTTAGGAAACCTGTTGACCATGCACACCATCTCCCTTTCCTGTCAGAGTCAGGCACTCAGGACCTCAAGAGGCCTCACACCAGGATCTGCTCCACTGAGCACTTGCTGTATTACATGGCCTGCCTCCCTGGCACCCTTCCTAGCTCATTTCCACACAGCTAACTTCAGTTCAGCCTAACTAAACTCAAATCATTCAATATTTTAAAAAATGACTGAACCAGAACAAAATGATGACCTAAACCCACACCCTGAACCACACAAGTATTATTTTGCCAAACCTTCACTTTGAACCGGCTGCAATTGAATCCACTACCACTCAGAGCAGCCCCAAGCATCTCAGAGTACAACTGTGCTTTCTGGTTTTCCTGATGACTTATTTTCTTTTGTTTATTGTTGAGAATATATGTAGCAAAAGCATACAGACCAATTCAAGTTTCTCTAAGTTCAGTTACATTGATTATATTCTTCCAGTGATGAAATGGTTACCACTCTCTTGCTCCACTGTTCCTTCCCATGACTGCTGCTAAGGTTCGTATCTTCCCAGTTGCTGTTGTCAATTTGATCCCTTAGAGACAGATCTTAAAACAGCAGAATGTTCCAGGCAGACTTTCTTTACTAGTCAAGCTAAACCAGTTTAAAGATGGCTTCCAGGGATATTTCTGGTTTAAATTTAAAAGTTAAGGGAGCTCTGGTGGCCTAGTAGCAAGAAGCTGCACTGCAGTCCTAAAGAAATGTGGTTCAAACCCACCAGATGCTCTGCTAGAGAAGGAAGGGCAATCTCTTCTTATGCCAGTTGGATCTGATTCGATGGTACACAACAAAAAGAAAAATTTAAAAAGAAAAAAAAAACTAAAATTACTTCAGGACAATAGTTTCCATCCCATGAGAATTTTAAATTCTGTTCCGCACTTCTTTCCTTTTATCAAGAAGCTTCTACCTAATCTTTGATTAAAATTGTTCAGTAATGATATCTGGGCACCATCCATTTCTTCTGGCCTCATGGCAGAGGAGACATGGAGGCAATTAGCTACGTATTCTATTTCCTCCTATCTGCCTCGCCCTCCTATTCCTATGTTGCTCCAGACAGAGAAAGCTGTTGTGCCTTGATGGCCACGCATAAGCCTATAAGACCCCAGGCTCTACATAACAAGTTAGGAGACTAGAGCATTAAACACATCAGGCCAATGAACTGGGCTGTCCCAGCAAATCACAACCCTAAATCTTTAAACTAAGGCACCAAATCCCATCAACACTTAACAAGCAGCCTTCGCTTTTTGCTGCTGTTGTTAAATATAGCTACTATACAACTTTTGCTAATTCAACTTTTTACAGGTATGCAAATTATTGACAATTAAAATATTTGGCTGTCAGTGTTAGCCTTAATCAGTCATTTTTCCTTTACTGAAAATAGAAACTCAGTCCTCAATGTAATCCCTTTCCCTCAATTACCCGAATAAAACATATGCATTTGCTTTCACAGTGTTGTCAATGGCTTATTTTTCAGAACTAAATCACTAGGCCTTTCTTTTACCTTTGCCCTTAGGGCCTGTAATTCCTAACAGCATTTGCTCTTCTGGCCATAAAAGGACTAAAAATCTCTGAAACCAGAGAGCTACATGGACAAATTAACTCCCCAAAACCCTTTGCAATCTTGCTGGATAAAAGCAGATTTTCTATAGAAATAAATTCATACATTCCACTGAAACAAACACAAGGGTTTGGTTTGGTTTTAAGGGTTTTGTGTTTTATTTATTTATTTTTTTTTTAAATCGGAGTAAGAGGATCAAAGAGGAAAGAGAGAAAACTATCACTAAATTCTTAATTCCAGGGTGCCAAAGGAAGCTTTGGCAGCCTAGTGGGTAGGGAGTTGCTCTGCCAATGCAAACACAAGCAGTTCAAATCCACCAGCTTCTCCTCAGGAAAAAGATGAGCAATTTCCTCCCATGAGACTTAACAACCTCTGAAAACTCACTAGAAGGTCAGTTATGATTTTGTTCTGACAAACAGCAATGACCTGAGGTTTTTTGTTTGAGTGTACTCCATATTATTCTGTCAGGGACCCTCACCTGAGGTTCTGCATGTTCAATGGTTAGCACAGATAACCAGGCACCTGGTATGCCCCTACTGCTTGTTCATCAGCTGTAAGTCCTTCTTGAGGTCAAGGATGCATCACTTCTATGCATAGTTTAACTCCTCAGGGACTGGCCCAGACTTCCATGTTCAGTGACACGAAGTGGAGCACAGGTTATCTGGTCACTCCACTCTTACCCCTCCCGCTATTACCTTCTCCATCCACCTGAGGGATGCTCCGGAACAGACAATGTTGCTCCCGAATGAACTGCCCAGTTAGTTTGATGTCCACATCCACCTGGCCAACCCTGGGGAAACAACATTAGTATCCTGAGTGTGTGTTAGATATTTACCGACCCTCTTACGAACATGAGTTCACCAAATGCAATCCACCAAGCAGGTAAGGAAACTGAAATTCAGAGAGGTGAAATAACCAGCCTAAGGTCTCACAGCTGGGAAATAAGGCCACTGGGATTTGAGCCTGGGTCTGCCTGACTCCAAAAGTCCATGTTTTTAAGTTATCTAATTATACAACAAAGGAGGGCTGTTTGGAGATTCCAGACAGTCCTCTAACAGGACCCTGGAGTAGGAGGAGAGGGTTTTCATTCATCATTAGGTCTAATCACCCTGAGCACTCACTCTATACCCCCAATAATCACCAAAGACATCTGTGGTGGGAAGGAATTGGCACCCTCATTCCTTTAACTACTCCTCTAATTTCACTGCCCTCAGGGGCACTGAACCCCAGGGTTTTATTAGCACTAGCTAATCAAGCTGCTCCCTAAACTTCCCTGAGATTACTGCCCTACACCATGAGACCATGGAACTGGAGCCATATTTCCTTCTTCCTATCCTGGGTAAAGTCCCATTAAGGAATAACAAGGTAATGGATTTAGGAATGAAGTGGTCTAGAAAGTTTCCCACCAACTCTTCTGTCCCAGAAAAGCAGTTCTTCCCACAATAACTAGATCCACTTGGTGCCAGGACAAGAGCTGTCTCACTCTAACCAAATGAAGGGGTGAGGCGAGACAGCCACCGGGCAGGCAGCCCTAGCAAGCTCCAAAGAAGCCCAGAGAACAGGCAAGGCTGTGGAGCTGCTTTCCAGAGAGCTGCAGCACCTTCAGTGAGAACAGCAGGAAAGGGAGTCATCACCATAGCGGGTGTCTCTGCAACCAAACCCCAAAGCGAGAGGCTACCCCACAGGCCAGAGGGCAAACACTACCTGGTGACGCCATCTTTGATGTGGTAAAGCAGGCATTCTGACATCAGTGGATCTTCATTCAGGTTCACTAGGTGGGGAGTCTGAGAAGGAAACAACAGTAGTCAGGAGAAACATCACAAGAGCCAAACAGGGTGTCACCAAGAGAAAGGGAGGAACGAACACCAAATAGATTAGGCCCAAAAAGAAAAACAGCAAGACATATCATAATCAAACTCTCTAAACTAAAAGACAAGGATAGAATGCTGAAAGGAGCATGAGAAAAATAAAGTCACCTACAAAGGGGAAACAATTAGATTAAGTTCTGATTTCTCAGTGAAAACTATGTGAGCTAGAAGACAATGGATGGTATATACAGAAAACTAAAAGAAAACAATTGCCAGCCAAGGACCCCATACCTAGCAAAGCTCTCCCTCAAATATGAAGGAGAAATGAGATGCTTTGCAAAAAAAGAAGAAATTTAATAAATTTGTGAAAACAAGACCAAAACTACAAGATATTTTAAGTGAAGTCCTTCACACAGAGATGCCAAAGGAAAGTGTATGGTCCATAGTAACCACAAACAAAAGAAAAATACAGCAAAATGGCAATGGTAAAACCTGGCCTGACAATAATCACACTTAATGCTCCAATTAAGAAGAAAAAAAGTAGCAGAATGGATAAAAAAACAAAGCCCATTAAGAGAAAGGGAGGAAAGGAGCTTCAGTACTCATTCCTCCTGGTTCTAACACTGCCTGGCACTCTCCCTTCCCCTTGTTGCTGGTGAACTCTGCCCTCATAATTGTCATCACTTCCTCTCTCCTGAGGGACCTGAGGAATACCTTTGTTTCTCCCCACCTCTCACTTGTACTCATTGTCTATGCCACTCAATCACCTTGTTCTGACCCAGGCTCTCCTCACATAAAACAGGGCCTACAAAATTCACACCACTCTCTCAAGTTAACAACCTTTCCCAAGGCCATTTCTCAACCCACCAGTTTCCCTGACTGTAAATCTTGGAATCCACCTGTACTCTCCTCTTCTTTCCCCACATCCCCTGTCTCCAGGTCATATCATTTCTTCCCTTCAAAACACATCTTATAAATTCTAGAAAGTAAGACAAAAGACTGATATGTCCCTTCTTTTACCACAGTTTGATTTCTTATGAAGATGTAAGACATTTATAACATAAAAAAATCACTTCAATTTAGAGGCAAAATAATCCATTTCACATCATATTCCCCTGAGGCACTGCCCCTCTCTAGACCTGCCTTGCTTGCACTCAGATCACATGCACCAGCTGCCTGGTGTTGTCCTTGTCAAGCCCACCGTGTCTAGTGCTGCCCAGATCCACGATGCTGCTCAATGCTGATGTAGCTAATTACCTTCCTCCAAAGTTTCTTTTCCTGACTTCCTTATTTCTTTTGATAGCCCAGCCCACTGGCCTTCTTCTAGACCCTTTGTAGCCTTTGGCTGCCACACCTGCTACCTCCACCACGTCTATCTACCTCCCCACCGTAGAACTTGACATCCTGCTTTGTACCCTAGCTTTCCAGACTGTTCTAGCTACCCTCTCCTGCATGTTCACACCCAGTGGACTGTCCAGCACTCACCCAGAGGCTGGCCTCCTGCATCCTTTGACCATGGCCCTCTGCCTGAAACAGCCTCCCTCCTCACCCCTCCCCCATCCACCTGTCAAAATCATTCATTCCTTCTTGTCCTACATAGCCTGTCTCAAATGCCCCTATTTCCACGAGGCTTTCCTAAGACTTCGAACCAAATACAAGATCCCTGCCTCATCCAACAAGATTTGCTTTGGCATTCTATGTGTGAGATGCTGGGGGGATGCATAGAGGAGTCAAACCCAGTACTACTGTGTCATCATCAGTAAGGAAACCAGAGTAACATGAAGAGATAAGAGCTAGCATAGCACTGTGACCAGTGAGATTTCAATGCCTTGTAAAAGCATTTCTGATCTTTTCATGGCTTCTCAGAATTCAGTTGTTCATTCATTCATATGTTCGTAATGTCAGTGTGTTCTGAAAAGATGGACAAAGAGATGAACTACAGGAGCTCATGGTGGGATCAGAAGAGCTTTGTGGAAATGACAGCACTGAAGCTGGTCACTGAAGGTAAGGAGAATGTGGACATGGAGAAGGGAGAAGGAGCCAAGTCGAAGGAAAAATTCGAACACAAGCACGGAGGCAAGAAAGCACACGGTTTCCAGGAAGCATAGCTGGTGGTTGGGCCCAATATTTATTTGGTTCCCTACTTTGGATAATGAGCTCAAGACTGTGCAGCCATGTATCTGCCCTCCACCCAAGCACCCCTACATTTTCCTTTTCCCAAGGACGCTCAGGCCTCCTCCTCCTCCGCTGTTGCCTCCTTCTCCTCCACCTCCTCCTCCTCCCCCCATGCCACAGTGTCAGGTCTGCTCTGGGAATGCAATACGGATGGACTCTAGGAGCTGAAAAGGGATCTGTCTCTGGGGAGAGGAGACATGATTTAGGGCAGTGTGTTTCGATCTTTGCTCAGACTCAAAACTCTTTGTTTATATGAAACCTTACCGAGAAACCCAGAATGTAAAGCAGATAAGCAGAGAATCACTCAGGTGAAAGCTGGAGGTAGAACCCAGTCTGTTCCTGTCTCTTCCCCTGGCCCCTGTGAAGCAGGCTCCAGAGATGGGTTTGAAAATTTGACTTGAAAAGTCCTTAGTCCTGGAGGTGCACTGTGTTATGTGTCTGGCTTCTAAGTTGGTGGTTCAAGTCCACCAGCTGTGCCACGGCAGTTAACGGGCAGGCTTCTCCCAAAAAAGGCTTAGAGCCCTGGAAATCTGTGATAGCTCACTACGAGTCAGAAAGGCAGCAGGCTATTGCTTGGCTTGGTTTTGTTCAGGCCTAGTAGAGGGTTTCCACAGGCCTAGTAGACGGGTTCCAGCAAAAGAGGTTTTTTCCCTAAGGGTCTTTGCTTTCTCCCAGATAAACTGACTTTTCCCCTAGAATTCAATTTCTCATTTAATATTCCTAGGCTGGAAGCATCCCACTTATTTTCTACATATATATTGATTACTAACTCTCCCTTCTAAAAGACATCTGCCTTTAAAACTATTGGAAGAATACTCATCCTCACAACCTAGATGTTGCCGAGTAGCTTAATCCTGAGAAACATGCAAGATTAAACATTCTAATAATTTTGTGAAAAATAATGAGACAGCTGTCTAACATACCGATATGGATAGAACTCTAATATGTCACTGGGTGTAAAGAGCTAAGTGTAAGCTGTGCAACCACAACTGACTGAAAAGGAAGGCTGTCTGCATGTCTGTATAGACTCATACCATAAAATCTGTGTGAGCCAGAACTTGACAGGTCTGCCTTATTTTACTGGGTCTTGAGAGTTTTCCACCCTTGATAGGGCACGGTCTTATCATTTTTCTGTTGATCTTTTTAGGGTAAAATATAAAGGTTTTCCTTCTCTGACAGGTTTCCACCTTATATAGATTGCAGCTTTCAGAGATTTTCTTGTATAATTTTATATATAACAACAACAACAACCAGGAAAATCCAACCAAAAAAATATTTTGAAACCCTGTGTACATCAAGTTATTTCAAATTCAGTGTCTCTCATTGGGTTTCTGGAGGATATCAATCCACACAGGAGAGGAATGATCATCTTTCTTCTACACAGCATCTGGTGGACTTGAAACATTGACTTTTTGGTTAACAATTCAACACATTATGTACTATGCACCATAGCTCCTTGATTATATATAATGAATGCCTGTATATAGCTAGACCTCTGCAGAATAGCCTGTCAGGCACTGATAATAGAGTCTAGCAGCAGTGGCATCCACTTCCTAAACAACATGCCTCTGGAAACTATGAACTTTGATAAATGACGATAGTTATAGAAAGACTTCAGGCCTTTTGTTCATAAGGTTGCTATGGGTCATGCTCAACTCAACGGCAATCAACAACCACCACCACCCTTAGGAAGGAGGGAGACTTACTGTCCACTGAAAAATCCACCAAGCCTACTTTCCTAGAGTTGATTTGAACTCCTAGCAACTCTCTCTCAGGTATCTGAGGCTGTAGATCTTTATAGGAGGTGACAGCCCATCTTTTTCCCACAGAGTACTATGTTGTTAGAAACACTAACCTTCTGGTTAACAGCCCAACTTGTGACACACAATACCTACCACCTGAGCTCCTTCTACTTTCAAAAGTATGTACCTCTCAGCACTATTTCAATGTTTTCTCTGATATACACTAGTTAACTAAAGCAAAACAGAAACTTCCTTCCCTTCGGTCTCTGAGCTGTAGCAGGGAGGAAGAACCTTCCACACCTTCCATTTCCCCAGCTCTTTCTGCCTTCTTTCCAAACCAACTGTGGGGAATATGCCTTGGGTGCTAGGCAACTCCAGAGCTTAAAGTCTTGCTGAAGGTCTCTTGCAGCACTTTCTCTTCCCTTTGTCTGGCTAGGTCTCAGGAAGATCTGATTTCCTCAGGACCTCAAAGTCCTGCAGTTCACCATCAAAACAAAGCACCCTTACCCAGTCTGGCTCTGAACTATCCACTTGTTCCTCTCTCCCTGAGTCTCCTCCCTAATGAGGCAAGACCCGATTCAACAATCCCTGTTTATTCAATTGCCCAGATGAACCTGACCTTACAAACTAGGTGAATGGGCACCTCTGCAGGCAGCCCCCAATAACAGTATCAACACCAGAACACAGTGAATCTAAGGGCCTGATCTTACTCTGCCTCATACCAAGGACAAGACAGGTTTGGCTGGTTCTCTCATGGGACTGGAAGTTCTTGCTCTGCTCAGAGAGTCTTCCACATCATCCATCACTGCACTGGCACAGTCGTGTTGGCTGTCCACAGTCCAAATCCATTCTGACTGGCTGGCACTCGCGTCATTCTGATTATCACTCTTGCCCTGTTTCCTTCCTTCCTCTCAGCCAAAATTTACTGTGCATATGCTATATGGCTGCCTAAGAGATAGGCTCCAGATGCTAGGATGTCTGGCCTAGGCCTGGCAAATATCCGTGTACCCAATTGCTTGATAATAGAGTGAATGTCCTGCTCCTCTCAATTCATCAAATATGTTTTCCAGTCTCTACAAACAATGTTCTCTAAGAAATCCTTTCTACACATCTATAAGTCACACTGATACTTCTATTTCTAAAATCCTTGCTGTTTCTATAATCACCATCTTATAGTTTAATGCTTACTTTTCTTATTCCCCTTATATTCTCTTCTTCCCAATTTATCCTTTCAAAAAGGTATGTTTTTAGGTTTGGTTTCTTGAGTAGGTAGTAGCTGCCCAAGGCAGAATGTTCCAATGATGCAACAGACTAGTGACTAAGTCTCTTTCCCAACCCTAGATGGCAAAACTAGCTAATGTGCTTGACTGCTACCAAAAAGTTGAAGCCCACTCAAGAGGCACTTTGGATGAAAGGCCTGGCAATCTACTAAAAAAATAACCACTGAAAACCCTACAGAACTCAGCTCTGCTCTGACTTATGTGGGGTTCCACTGATTGGGAATCCACTTGATGGCACCTGGTTAACTCCTGGTTCTTCTCCTCTGCAAAGGTAAGCACTACAATTAGTTACTTATAATCCCTTGCAGAGATCAGGTCTCTACATGAACAACATCCATTCATGAGTAAGTTTATGTGTGTAAAAACCTAACCTAAGCAGTTCTGAAAAACCCCTAAAGACAGGGACAAGATATTTCCTATGAATTAGTTTCTCAGCTGATTCAGATGGAGAAAAGATGGAAGGGGTAAATGGACAACACAGAGGAGAGGTAGTGAAGGAGGAGACACACGTGACACAAGGACACTTCAGAGACCACAGGTGGAAGAGACCAGAGTTAAAACTCACCAACTTGCCACCCACCAGGCCTGTATGAGCATCCAGAGAGCTCTCTCCTCAACCAATTCCTCACTTACCTTCTTTGGAGAGAAGACACCCACGGTTCCACCATCCTCCCGCACGGCCACTCCCATTTCAGCCAGCAAGGCTTCTCTGTGAGCCAAGAGGAGGAAAACGTTGGTTTTAATCAATATGACCCCCTTACCTTTCCTGAGAGAATTAATTTCCTTCCAACCTCACTTCTTCTAGGACTCAGCTGTTGGCTCAACCCTTCGCACCTCTCCATCCTCAGGGCTTCTGTCTTGCGTAGCTTCTCTTCCCAGGTCTCGTTCAGCTCAGCTATAATCTTCTCTGTTTCCTGGGAGCACAGGACAGGCAGGTATCAGAAGATTCTGGGACAAACATCGATCATAAAAGCCACGCTACTCCCAGAATTCCCTCTTCCTATGTGTCTCCTGAGTTTATAGAACTGAATGTTCAGCAGCCCACAAACCCTGACACTCATGTCAGCAGTAGCTTTCCCACCTGCAACCTCTCCATGGCCTCCTCGGGCCCAATCTGGGGCTCATCATTGGGGGCGAACGTTGGCTCCAGCTCTCCATTGTGTGCAGGGGGAGATATGGGTGAAGACGAAGCAGGGGGAGTTGACACCGGTGGCAGAGCACCTCCAGGACTCCCCTCTTCCACCTTCAAGCCTGGAAGAAAGAGGTGACAGAACAATAATAAGGAAAGACAGATGACTGGAGACACAGTAAGAGCTGGGAGCTTCACCAAGGACGAGAATGTACGGAATTTTAGAAGACATCAGGTCAATCCATCATTAGGCAAAGACTTGTCCTACCAGTGTTATGTGCACCCAAGTAGATTCTGAGTCACAGTAATACTCCAGGACAGCACAGAATCAGCGCACTGGGCCTCTGAGATTATAGTCTTTACAGCAGCAGGTCATCAAGTCTTTCCTCTCAATACAGTTGGCAGGCAAGTACTTAACCACTGCACCACTGTTGTTAGGTGGAATCAAATCAAGTTTCCCCATCAAGTCAGTTTCCCCTCATGACCCTGTATACACAACAGAATGCAGCCTGGTGCTGTACCACCCTCACAATTGGTGCTATGCTTCAGTCCACTGCTGCACCCCCTGTGGCAATCCATCTCACTGAGGATCTTTTTTTACCCCTGAACATTTGTTTGTTCTTCTTAAACTTTAGGATATATTCCATATTCTTCACTGACACCAGGGTTCCAAGGCAGCAATTCTGCTCTGATCTTCCTCTTCATGGTCGAGCTGAGCTTTCACAACTTGAGATGACTGAAAATACGACATACGTCAGATGTGCCTTAGTCCTCAGAGTGACAGCACTGGGTTTTAACACCCTCAAGAGGTCTTCTGCAGTAGATTTCCTTACTGTAACGGGTCTGGTTTCTCAGGTGCTGCTTCTATGGTGTTGATGGTGAGTCTAAGCAAAATGAAATCCTTAAAAACGTCAATATTTTCCCCATTTATCATGGTGCTTCTTATCAGTCCTGTCATTAAGTATTTTTATTTTCTTTATGTGGAGGTATGATCCAAACTGAAGACTGTAGGCTCCAATCTTTATTAGTAAGTGCTTCAGGTTCTCTTCAATTTCAGCAAATAAGGTTGCATTATCTGCATATCACAGGTTGCTAATGAGTCTTCCTCCAATGCTGATGCCACATTCTTCTTCATAGAGTCCAGAATTTTTATTATTTCCTCAGCGTATATGCTGAGTAAGTATGGTAAAAGGATTGAACTTGGTATACACATGGGCATCCATCTCTGTACTCCTCCAGGGATGGAAAGCTTTTTTTCCCCTTTATATGTGTGTGTGTGTACCATCAAATTGGATCTGACTGGCATAGGAGGAAATTGCCCCTTCCTCTCCAGCACAGCATCTGGTGGATTCGAACTGCGTACCTCTGGGATTGCAATGCGGAAAGTTCATTTTTTAATTAGTTAGTTCCTTTCACTAAATTGAAATCTGCCTCCCTCAAATATCTACTTCTGTGCCCTGGAATAAAGAAAAGACCACACTGCTTTTTTTCTCTCTGTAAAATAAGTTTTTAAAGGTTAGAAAAGCAAACATTTCATGTACCTTACCCTTCTCTTGCCAAAAAATGACAACTTTATTTCTCATGCTCTTCCACGCAGGGTTCCACACCCCTCAGAATCCTGACTGGAACACCTAGACTGAATGAGGAGTTCATACTAGATCCGACCAATGATGTTTATGCATCTTCTCATACAGTAGTTAGGCTGAACAATACATTCACACTATTCCCTGTTGATTTTTAGTATGCTTTTGATCAGATCAACTAAAACCCTGACCTTTTTTTGGGGGGTGGGGGTGGGGGGAAGAAATAGGCTTAATGTCTTGTTTTATTCTTTTTGCATCCTGTACAAGTGACATAGAAGGAAAAGAAAATATGAAAGTCATGTGTAAAAGAACTCTTCATAATTAAAAGCAACAATTTCACATCTTTGTCTTATCATTTTATCAGTGAAAAACCACCAACTATTAGAAAAACAGGACAAATTACATAATAAAAGAGCCAAAAGGTGGGGAGGGCATTTAATAAAAATATATATCCAAATATGAAAGTACTGCTCTTCTGGTATCTTCACAACCTTCTCTTCTGTGTACTTACGTACAGCACATTGTTCCCTCAGATAAATGCATCCCCATATTTATTCTTCAGTTGTCCGTTTACATACTCTTCTGTCTGCTCCAAAGCTATAGTCATGCAACCATCCAGGCAAGCTAGGACCCCTCGGTAATCCACTCCTGAATTTAACTTTACCACAACTGGTCGTCCTATGATTTGCTTTAAGAAGTCACTGGGAGTTTGTTTCCGTAGACTCATTTTAAGAACCCTCGCAAAACAGAGCCTGAACCTCCACTGCAGGTGTGTGCGAACCTGGCCTCCAAGAGAAAATCCAAAACCCTGACATTTTTATAAGAACTCTGCCAAAGACAGATATCGATTTACTCAATAATTTCCTTTTTGAACCCTACATGTAAAATTAGCCATTTCTTCCTGTTTCTGTCATGTTATTAGTTCTCCTAGAAAATCTTTTCCTGTCAGCCTTGTCACATCTAAAGGCTTAAGAATTCCCATCTCCATGGCTATATCCACATCATTGAGAGACCAAAGGCCTTCGTGGCGGGTCCCTCCATAATCCACAACTGGGCAAAGGCACATGAGAAAGGACACACTGAGCTGTCCCTCTCCCAGAACCCCTACCTCCCAAGGCCGAGGCTGAGAGTCCCTGAGCCATCAGCAGTTCCCGCAGCCGGGCCACCTCTTCCTGCAGCTCTCGGATCAGCCTGGCATTTGGGTCTTCATTGATGATGGCATTGCAGCGGATCTGCTTGGTGCGGTCGGCATACCTGAGGGGAGGAGGGGCGAACAGGCTGAGTCAGGTCACAGAAAAATTCTTTGTATGTGATTTATTTCTTTCTTCCTCCCAGGTCTCAAGATTTTGGGTCCACCCTGACTCATGTGTAAAAGGTCCTGGCTAACCAGTCTGAGTTCTCAGAGTGCTAATATACCTGCCAGCACCTGAGGCCATACCTGAGGGTACTAAGAGTCTCCTCATAGTTGATGTCAGCAGGGCTCAGGGCTGCGATCATTGCTGTCCGTGAGTTCCCACCTGTGAAGGGAAAGGAAGAAAGGGCTTTAGTGTGGCTGGTTCCTGAAAAAGTAAGACTAGGCATATGGGTCAAATGAGCCTCAGATGCTCAGGCAGGGGCCTGACTGGATCCTTGTCTGAGGCAAGGTGAAGTTAAAAGTTATGAGAATGAGGTCAGCGAGACATGGCAGGGGTGGGGGGAGTAATCACAGAGCAATGGGAAGGGGATGAAGTCAGCAGGGGTGTGGGGTCAGAGAGGGCAGCCAAGTCAGTGAGGCCCTTAGCTTGGCACAGGTGGCTGGCCTTGATCTCAATCAGGAGGACTCTGAAGGATATTCCCTAGGGCAGTGGGAAAATGAGACAAACGTGGGACAGAGGTCAATGGGGCAAGTGACACATCTGAGAATCTAGGGTGGTGAAGGGGTTTGGTAAGTGAATCAAAAAGAATTAATGGGATGACAGTAGGGTCAGCAAAGAAAGAGGAGGAGCCCCTCACCCAAATTCTCCTTGAGTAACCAGGTGAGCACAGAGTCCCTGTAAGGGATAAAATCCGACTTCCGCTTCTTTGATTGCTGAGAATGGAAGAGGGAAGGGGTCAGGGTGGACCACCCCATTCATCTTCCTTCCCCAGATGCCCTCCTCTTCCCAACCGCCAGGCCTTACCATATCTGCAAGGGCTGAGATCACCTTCCCTAGAGTAGTCAAGGACTTATTGATGTTAGCACCTTCCTGCAAAGGAATCAGAAATACAAATTCAACCCTCCTTTCCCAACTGAATCCACCTCCTGAACCTCTTCTTCCCACGCAGTCCCAGGTTCTGAGGGACCTCTGTGGCACAGCCCCAACACCACCCCCATCAACCCTACTACGCCCTCTCACCTTCAGGCGCATGCCCCGAGCCCCCGAGGAGTCAGCCCGCTCACTCCCAGCAAGGTCCACCAAGCTGATCTTACTAACCTAGGGGTGGGAGAAGAGGCAGACAGTGACTAAGCTCAGTGTGTGACAGGGAAAGGCAATAACCAGCAGGAACCTGGGTAATTAGCAACGGAGAAAAGTCAAAAGGGGATGAAAGAAGGAAAGAGAGAAAAGAGACTAAATACATAAAGACAAGAGTGAAGAGCTGACTACTCATCCATTTTTTCACAGATTCATTTACAAATATTTACATCTCCTCCATGTGTCAGGAATGGAGGCCTGGTGGCATAATGCATACCGCATCCAGTCGCTAATCAATAGGTTGGCAGTTCAAATCCACCAGCCACTCTGGAAGAGGAAGAGTGCCATTCTCCGTGCCATATGTATAGCCCCAGAAACCCAATGAAGGGTCGTGCTGAGTCAGAATCAACTGGCCACAGTAGATTTGGTTTTCTGGTATGTGTCAGGACAGGGAACCCAGTGCAATCCAAGGGCTGCCCTATAAAGTGTAATCGAAAGAAGAAACCTCGGCAGAAGGCAAATGAGATACTGTAGCACACAGATATGGGAGAAGGATGAGGACTTTGGAAGTCCAGGAGACACCCAGCCTGGTACAAGCAAGAAGGAGTGACTGAACACCTTCCATTGCATCACTGTCTCTGGTGCCAGGTGTGGACAGGAGGTAGGAGTGGGCTCCCACCTTCTCAGAGTCCAGGCCAGTGAGCTGGTCGTGGCAGCGCTGAGTGAAGACAATGGTGAAGACAGCATGGGAACGGCTGCTGGTCTCATTCATATTAGTGGCAGCCACAGTCCTGGAGGAAAGAAGGAGGTGTCAAGGGGGCCCTGCCTCTCTCCTGGCCCCCTCTCCCTCCACTCCATCAGCCTGGCTCACCGTGCCTTATTACCACAGTCCATGAGGTCAGCAATATCTTCATAGGAAGTCACAGCCAATTTAGACAAGTCCTGCACATAGGGGCCCAAGATAGGGTGCTCGCGGACCCGCAGAGAGCCTCGACTCTTGGGATTCAAAAGGTCTCGTACTCGTTCACAGTAGATCTCCATATAGCTCACCTGAGGGAGAAGTAAATGAGTAACAAAGTTGTGATAACACTGACAAGAACAGTGACTCTTAAATTCCACTGGACACAACATGGGTAATTACAGCCAACATATACTGAGCATAGTCTATGCACCAGGCATGCTGCTAAGCATTGTGAATTTGCTACCTTATTTGATTCTCAAGACAACCCTAAAAGGTAGGTCTGATCATTATCTCCATTCTACAGATGAATACTCAGGTACTAGGAGATTAAATCATTTGCCCAAAGTCACAGTTAGTAATTGGCAGAGCCAGAACTGAATCTCAGGCTGACTCCAGAGACTGTCATCAGTCAACCCACTCCACCCTCCTGCCTCCCTACCCAGGGAACACACCCCTCTCCCTCTCTACCACTCCCCGACTGGGACCTGGGCTTACCTCCACGGAATAGGAGAGCTCGGCACTCTGGTTTCTACTAACACGGGAGAAGAGATCCTCACAGAGCTAAGGGAGCACAGAGATACACCAGAGGAGATTCTGTTAATGGTACACCGACAGTGCTCAGTACTGGGCCGAGCTCTGGCCCATGGACCCTGGTCCATCCTTACCCCACACCTCAGGGTGACTGCCATCTTACAGATGCAAACACTGAAGCTCGGCAAGGATCACAGTGGCTGAAGGTCACAAGGCTAACGTTCATGTCACAGGATGCAAACCCCAGCATGCTGACGCCACAGCCTAAGTAAGACTATGCTGCACAGCCAGACAAACAGGGTCAACTCTCAGTTACCCAAAATTGGCTTTTTGATTAGTTAACACCTTGACTATAGGGGAACTAAGCCCACAAATAACTATGAAAACTCAAATTCATTGCCGTTGAATCAGAACTGACTACTAGCTGACCCTCCAGCAGATTTTCAGAGGGTTTAAGTTGTACAAGAAGGAGACTGCCCATATAAGGCAAGGTCAAATCGTAGTCAACAGTACAGCCAGGGTTCAAGTCCAAGGCTCTCTGACTTCATCAACACCTAGGCTCTTATCCCAGAACCTAGACTCTTAAACGAGGGCAAAGAATCTCTTGCCAAGGTGCCCAGAGTGTCTGGGTGACTGCCACACCCTTTATCACATCCCCTATCACAAACAGCCTCAGAAAGGCAGGTCTCTGCTCTGTAATCCTCAGATTCTGTCCTTGCTACCCTAGAGAGCAGTGGCCAAGGTTCCTGGCTATCTCGCCATATGCTAGGTTGTACCTGAGGCACGATGCCTTGCTGCCCAGGTTCCTGTCGCCCCATCATGGTATAGGATTTTCCAGCTCCAGTCTGCCCATAAGCAAAGATGCACACATTGTAGCCTTCAAAGGCATGCAGCAGCATCTCTTCTCCAATGTCTCGATACACCTGCTGCTGTGATGCAAATTGGGGGTCCTCGGCCTGGGTGGAAGGGAGTCAGAGCAAAACAGCAAAGAATCTTGGATGATTACATACATCCTTAGTTTCTAGGTTCCAATAAGTTCTGTCCCTCTCATTGATGACTGCCTAAAGATCCTGCCCTCCCACAATCATGTTCTAAGCACCCCTTAAAATCCTATCCAAATACCTGCCAATCCTTATGCTAAGGGAGTCTGTCTCCCCAATCCTGGTTCCAATCACAGTCTAAGCTTCCTATCCTCCCACATTCACCCAGGGATCCCAGTGCTCTCAACCAACTTCCTAGAGGTCAATTTCCCAGTAATGTCTCCTCTCCAGGACTCAAATCCTCTGTCCCTCTTTGTTTAGCTCTTTATTCAACCCAACAACTTACCGAGGTATGTGACCAGTAGGAATAGTCGAAGGTGAAGCTTTTGGGGGCATCCTTGCTCTGTTTGGGATTGAAGATGGCTGAGAGGACAAGAGAAGACAAAGAGAAAAAGACCAAAGTCAGGTACTCCCAATCTCTGCCCTTAGAATCTGGGTACCTCACTTCCCACCTCTGTCCTAGTTCACCTCTTCCCTTTAATACTCCCCACCCCCTCCAGTCACCAAAGCTAATTTTGGCTTCCCAGGACCCGCCCCCATTAAGCTGCCTCTCTGGATTGGGCAATGGAGGGCTCTAGGCCAAGCAGTTCCCCTCCCAGGGCAGAGAAAGGCCAGACTGCCCCAGCACCGCCCTTAGAACCAGCACCTGCTCTGTGCCCAGGACAACTCTGCCCTGGTTCAGCCTGTGTGGCAGACCCAGCTTTCCCTGCTGTGCCCAGCAAGGCCCCTGGGACTCACTCACAGGTGGTGTTGCCCTGCATGCTGACCACACACTTGGCATCTCGGCTGGTCTCACGGGTGTTGAAGGGTCGAACCCTCACAGCCACTTTCACTGAGGCACCAGCCATGGTTCCAGATACTCTCCCCTCCTCAACTGGAGGACAGGGAAAGAAAGGGTGGTTAGGGGCCCCTGGAGGATACAAACATTGCCTCCTAACTTATACCAAGAACCAGGCTCTCTATTCTCTGCCCCCAGAATCCCAGCTTTTCAAGAACCCATTTCTTGTTCCCCAGACCTTCTCTCCCATGTCATTCTCCTGAGGGAATCCCAAAGATGTTCTTGCTTCTCTTGCCAACCAAATCTCAGCTCAAAGAGACATGGGCCCTCACCCCAGTTACCTGGTGTCCTGGCCCCAGATCAGGGGGGCTGTATCAGTTCTGGCTGCTATCGGCCCTTGTAAGGGGAGCCCCATCCTACACTTTGGGCCTGGCCACACGAGCTGGGGCTGTGGAGAAAGCCCTGGTTGTAGAGAAAAAGTAGTTAGAAGGTATCTGTGGTTCTAGAGGTCTGTCATGGGTGAGAAGTAGGGTCATTAGGAAAGGTTAAGGATTGCTGCCCCTCTGAAGTGGCCAAATGCAATGTGAATCCAAGGTCAGGGAGGGTGATATTTTTATTCCTCATCACTCACAAGTGTACTGAATGTTTGTTCAGACAGCGACGAGAGAGAGAGAGAGAGAGAGATGCTGGACAGAGGGCAATTCAGAGAGGGACGAGTGGCCGGTCAGTGAGGGTAATAGAAATAGGGGTGAGGAAGGGAAGAAAGCCACTGATACGAATTAAAGAAGTGACATGAGGGGAAAGATTGGAGTCATATTTAAAATAAAAGAGGGATAAAGGAAAGATAATAGAAAATGTAAAATACTGACATTAAGCAGGCAGGAAAGGGAGCTCTAATCAAAAGTCCAGTATAGACAGGAGAAAATGCCAAACATAGAACCTAAACAAGACCAGCAAGGGAGAAGCAGAAATCAACTCCCACAGAGGGTCCACACACCATGGAGGGAAAGGAGAGGGGCAAAGTCCAGAGGCTGGATGTGCAGCTCAGGGCTGGGATTCAATGGGCCCCAAACCCCTTGTTCAGGCTCCAGCACTTCCTCCCAGGATCCAAGACAATGGGCAGGAGAGGGTGGGGTCATCCTGTATCCATCCCTACCAACCCCCAGGGCTCCTGTTGGAGGACCCTAAATACCTGGGGCTTTAGGAGATTGAGAACCTAGGGGTATGACCTAAAAGGGGAGTGTGGAAGGTAGCAGGTAGAGTCAGTCCAGCGTGCCCTAGGGAAGGTGCCAGGATGGAGCCTAGGAATGTAGGTGATCGAGTGCCCACACCCTGAGAGAAGAGGCTGAGCAGCCCACACCCACAGACAGCAAGGTGGAGGCCTGGGAGAACGCAGGATGCCTGAGCCGCCTCCACAGTGACATAGGATCCCAACCTATTCTACAGGTCTCACCTTATCAGCCTTCTGGGGCACGGCATGGGAACAGTGAGGGGACTGGGTAGTGCCAGGACAGGAAGAGGGCCACAAATGCTATCTCGGAAGTCCGACCCTGACCCTCTGCCCCCAAGACCAAAAAAAGGGGGGCCCCACTGGTGGGAACACGCATCGGTAGCGCCACTGCAGGATGATGAGGCAGAGTGAGGTGGCAGAAGAGTGAAGTTATAAAGGAAGTGGGGACAGGGTGGCTGGTGCGCCGTAAAGGCGCAGGGGATCCAAGGGAGGAGCCCACGGCTGGGGTGGGGCCGGCTGACCCGAAAGGGGACCTCCGGCCACCTGTATCCTCCCCACCCAATGAGTCTCCAGCAGGCCTCATCCCCAGCCTCCCTGGGCGGCCATGAGGACCCAGTGCTCCTGGGCCAGCAAGCCGAGGGCCGCCCCAGGCCTGGCACCTCTCTCCGCTTCCGTGGGACAAACAGCACATGATCCCGGCTTCCCAATCCAACCGCCCCCCGTCAGATCGTGCAACCAGGGACCTCGGCTCCTCATCCCTCAACTCGACACATTTCTTCGCGGGCACCTCTGTCCTCCCCTCCCCCTAAGCTCTCACCTCGCTGCGGCAGGGCTCCCGGAGCAGTTTGGCAGAATGCAAAGGGACAAACTTTCCGGTCAGTGTGGGACGCGAAGTAGGCAAGGGCAGGGCAAACTGAGGGCTGCCCCGGGCCCTCGGCCGATCCCCGGGCAGCGGGCGTTGGACTCGCACCCCGGGGCGGCAGCAGCAGAGGCGCCTGCGGCCGGCGCCCGCCCGGGCAGCGCG